GAGTGAGTGGTGGAGAGCGAGTGAGTGGTGGAGAGCGAGTGAGTGGTGGAGAGCGAGTGAGTGGTGGAGAGCGAGTGAGTGGTGGAGAGCGAGTGAGTGGTGGAGAGCGAGTGAGTGGTGGAGAGCGAGTGAGTGGTGGAGAGCGAGTGAGTGGTGGAGAGCGAGTGAGTGGTGGAGAGCGAGTGAGTGGTGGAGAGCGAGTGAGTGGTGGAGAGCGAGTGAGTGGTGGAGAGCGAGTGAGTGGTGGAGAGCGAGTGAGTGGTGGAGAGCGAGTGAGTGGTGGAGAGCGAGTGAGTGGTGGAGAGCGAGTGAGTGGTGGAGAGCGAGTGAGTGGTGGAGAGCGAGTGAGTGGTGGAGAGCGAGTGAGTGGTGGAGAGCGAGTGAGTGGTGGAGAGCGAGTGAGTGGTGGAGAGCGAGTGAGTGGTGGAGAGCGAGTGAGTGGTGGAGAGCGAGTGAGTGGTGGAGAGCGAGTGAGTGGTGGAGAGCGAGTGAGTGGTGGAGAGCGAGTGAGTGGTGGAGAGCGAGTGAGTGGTGGAGAGCGAGTGAGTGGTGGAGAGCGAGTGAGTGGTGGAGAGCGAGTGAGTGGTGGAGAGCGAGTGAGTGGTGGAGAGCGAGTGAGTGGTGGAGAGCGAGTGAGTGGTGGAGAGCGAGTGAGTGGTGGAGAGCGAGTGAGTGGTGGAGAGCGAGTGAGTGGTGGAGAGCGAGTGAGTGGTGGAGAGCGAGTGAGTGGTGGAGAGCGAGTGAGTGGTGGAGAGCGAGTGAGTGGTGGAGAGCGAGTGAGTGGTGGAGAGCGAGTGAGTGGTGGAGAGCGAGTGAGTGGTGGAGAGCGAGTGAGTGGTGGAGAGCGAGTGAGTGGTGGAGAGCGAGTGAGTGGTGGAGAGCGAGTGTGACGTGAGTGGTGGAGAGCGAGTGAGTGGTGGAGAGCGAGTGAGTGGTGGAGAGCGAGTGAGTGGTGGAGAGCGAGTGAGTGGTGGAGAGCGAGTGAGTGGTGGAGAGCGAGTGAGTGGTGGAGAGCGAGTGAGTGGTGGAGAGCCGAGTGAGTGGTGGAGAGCGAGTGAGTGGTGGAGAGCGAGTGAGTGGTGGAGAGCGAGTGAGTGGTGGAGAGCGAGTGAGTGGTGGAGAGCGAGTGAGTGGTGGAGAGCGAGTGAGTGGTGGAGAGCGAGTGAGTGGTGGAGAGCGAGTGAGTGGTGGAGAGCGAGTGAGTGGTGGAGAGCGAGTGAGTGGTGGAGAGCGAGTGAGTGGTGGAGAGCGAGTGAGTGGTGGAGAGCGAGTGAGTGGTGGAGAGCGAGTGAGTGGTGGAGAGCGAGTGAGTGGTGGAGAGCGAGTGAGTGGTGGAGAGCGAGTGAGTGGTGGAGAGCGAGTGAGTGGTGGAGAGCGAGTGAGTGGTGGAGAGCGAGTGAGTGGTGGAGAGCGAGTGAGTGGTGGAGAGCGAGTGAGTGGTGGAGAGCGAGTGAGTGGTGGAGAGCGAGTGAGTGGTGGAGAGCGAGTGAGTGGTGGAGAGCGAGTGAGTGGTGGAGAGCGAGTGAGTGGTGGAGAGCGAGTGAGTGGTGGAGAGCGAGTGAGTGGTGGAGAGCGAGTGAGTGGTGGAGAGCGAGTGAGTGGTGGAGAGCGAGTGAGTGGTGGAGAGCGAGTGAGTGGTGGAGAGCGAGTGAGTGGTGGAGAGCGAGTGAGTGGTGGAGAGCGAGTGAGTGGTGGAGAGCGAGTGAGTGGTGGAGAGCGAGTGAGTGGTGGAGAGCGAGTGAGTGGTGGAGAGCGAGTGAGTGGTGGAGAGCGAGTGAGTGGTGGAGAGCGAGTGAGTGGTGGAGAGCGAGTGAGTGGTGGAGAGCGAGTGAGTGGTGGAGAGCGAGTGAGTGGTGGAGAGCGAGTGAGTGGGTGGAGAGCGAGTGAGTGGTGGAGAGCGAGTGAGTGGTGGAGAGCGAGTGAGTGGTGGAGAGCGAGTGAGTGGTGGAGAGCGAGTGAGTGGTGGAGAGCGAGTGAGTGGTGGAGAGCGAGTGAGTGGTGGAGAGCGAGTGAGTGGTGGAGAGCGAGTGAGTGGTGGAGAGCGAGTGAGTGGTGGAGAGCGAGTGAGTGGTGGAGAGCGAGTGAGTGGTGGAGAGCGAGTGAGTGGTGGAGAGCGAGTGAGTGGTGGAGAGCGAGTGAGTGGTGGAGAGCGAGTGAGTGGTGGAGAGCGAGTGAGTGGTGGAGAGCGAGTGAGTGGTGGAGAGCGAGTGAGTGGTGGAGAGCGAGTGAGTGGTGGAGAGCGAGTGAGTGGTGGAGAGCGAGTGAGTGGTGGAGAGCGAGTGAGTGGTGGAGAGCGAGTGAGTGGTGGAGAGCGAGTGAGTGGTGGAGAGCGAGTGAGTGGTGGAGAGCGAGTGAGTGGTGGAGAGCGAGTGAGTGGTGGAGAGCGAGTGAGTGGTGGAGAGCGAGTGAGTGGTGGAGAGCGAGTGAGTGGTGGAGAGCGAGTGAGTGGTGGAGAGCGAGTGAGTGGTGGAGAGCGAGTGAGTGGTGGAGAGCGAGTGAGTGGTGGAGAGCGAGTGAGTGGTGGAGAGCGAGTGAGTGGTGGAGAGCGAGTGAGTGGTGGAGAGCGAGTGAGTGCATGCATGGGTCTGCGAGTAAGTCAAACGTGGTATCGGCTGACTGGCTGAATCTTTCTGGTGAGCTGTGCTCTCGTGCGCTCACAAGGGTTAAGCCCCTAAGCTAGAAACAGCTATCGCTGCCCGAAGTGGAACGTGAAGTGTGTCACAAAGTGCCTTATCATGTGTTCGTCTCATTCTGGCACAATCAACATGTAAGAGATTCGAGAAGAGAGAGCAAGGCACACACAACCACTTGCACACAATGCCCGTCTTGGCCTCCCTGTGCCTGACACGTGTTTAATCTGGCCCCTTGTCTCTGCATGCCTCTGTTGTTTGTTTCTCTGTGCTGCCCACAACAGCCACGTGCCACAAGGATTGTGGAGCTGCTGAGTGCGTTGTGAAGAAGGGCAAGCAGCAGTGCCAGTGCCCCGAGGACCTCGTGTTCAACCCGGCTAAGAAGACCTGCCGCGCTGCTGCTCGTCGTAAGTGCCTTGCTGCTTGTTGCATGTTTGCCAACAAGAATGAATTTGCCGGGCAGCTTCTTGTGTATGGAATCAGAAAATATTTGCCTGCGTGATGCCGCCCACACCAAGAGCAGCGGGCTGCACACTACCGAGCTGCCTGCCCTGCCGATGCCCAGTTTCATGGTTGTCAACAAGAAAGATTCAGCTTCTCGTGTAATTGCGAGTGTCCCACAGGCTACAGGAAGAGGAGCAGGCTCTGCACTGGCATGGTTTACCATCCTTCTCTCCCATCTCGCATCTTATGCTGCGGCCTTCTCTGCCCTCCATTTGCCCCTTCATGTTGCACGTATGAACTGATCAGGTTCACCATACCTCATTTGCCCCCTCCCATTCCTATTCACCTCATTTGCCCCCTCCCATTCCCATTCACCTCATTTGCCCCCTCCCATTCCCATTCACCTCATTTGCCCCCTCCCATTCCCATTCACCTCATTTGCCCCCTCCCATTCCCATTCACCTCATTTGCCCGCTCCCATTCCCATTCACCTCATTTGCCCCCTCCCATTCCCATTCACCTCATTTGCCCCCTCCCATTCCCATTCACCTCATTTGCCCCCTCCCATTCCCATTCACCTCATTTGCCCCCTCCCATTCCCATTCACCTCATTTGCCCCCTCCCATTCCCATTCACCTCATTTGCCCCCTCCCATTCCCATTCACCTCATTTGCCCCCTCCCATTCCCATTCACCTCATTTGCCCCCTCCCATTCCCATTCACCTCATTTGCCCGCTCCCATTCCCATTCACCTCATTTGCCCCCTCCCATTCCCATTCACCTCATTTGCCCGCTCCCATTCCCATTCACCTCATTTGCCCGCTCCCATTCCCATTCACCTCATTTGCCCGCTCCCATTCCCATTCACCTCATTTGCCCGCTCCCATTCCCATTCACCTCATTTGCCCGCTCCCATTCCCATTCACCTCATTTGCCCCCTCCCATTCCCATTCACCTCATTTGCCCCCTCCCATTCCCATTCACCTCATTTGCCCGCTCCCATTCCCATTCACCTTGCCCCCTCCCATTCCCATTCACCTCATTTGCCCCCTCCCATTCCCATTCACCTCATTTGCCCCCTCCCATTCCCATTCACCTCATTTGCCCCCTCCCATTCCCATTCACCTTGCCCCCTCCCATTCCCATTCACCTCATTTGCCCCCTCCCATTCCCATTCACCTCATTGGCCCCCTCCCATTCCCATTCACCTCATTTGCCCCCTCCCATTCCCATTCACCTCATTTGCCCGCTCCCATTCCCATTCACCTTGCCCCCTCCCATTCCCATTCACCTCATTTGCCCCCTCCCATTCCCATTCACCTCATTTGCCCCCTCCCATTCCCATTCACCTCATTTGCCCGCTCCCATTCCCATTCACCTCATTTGCCCGCTCCCATTCCCATTCACCTCATTTGCCCCCTCCCATTCCAAATATGAACTGATTATGTTCACCATGCAGGGGCAGGTGGACAAGTGAAGAACGGGCAACCCTAGTGGGATGGGCAGGCAGCAAAGAGGAGCAAGCTGGCAACACAAGAGGAGTGTGAGATGGCCTGGGGCTGATGGCGGTGCGAGCAACTGTGTGCCGTTGCTTGGAGGCTAGGGAGTGCCCAGTAGGAACCAGCTTTGGCTTATAATTGGCTGTGCCATCAGGCTGTAAACCCACAGTTGCCACGCAAAGTGTTGCTGAAAACATGCACAAAATGTCTCTTGCACTGTATAGAGGTATTAATAAAAATTAAAATGAGGTACGGAAAAAGAACAGCTCAAAAGCGGTTGAATCAGTGTTAGAAACTGAAACCTAAGAGATATCCAGGGCCATATGGTTATTGTGGAATTACAATGGTGTAGCAATATTACAACTAAGACGCAAGGCTGGCCAAGTCATGCAATCGCAGTGGGGCGCAGCCATGACTCATAATCTCTTCACTGCATCGTACTGTACTGTCGCATGCTGCCACGCCCATGTGCTCCATTCTCCCCCACACAGCCCCCCGCCTCCCCCACAACCACCAGCTCATGCACCCCTCCTCCCATGAGAGCCCCCAGCGCGGCTGAAGAGTCACTGACTGGCACGCCCATGTCCAGGAGGCGCTTTTGACTCCACTCAAAAGAAGAGTCAGTGGGCGGCGGCGGCGCGCCCATGTCGAGGCGGCACGCCACCTCACGCTCTGCCAGTGCCAGCGCCAGCCCCAGCTGCACCCACTGGTGGTGCGCCGCTCTCACTGCTCTCAGCACCTCCACCGTGCTGCTCCCTCCTCCCACCACTGCCACCCGCTCCTCCCACAGCTGCACTCTCTCCTCCAATGGTAGGCCCTCCTCACATGCTCCCTCCTCCTCACACACTCCCTCCTCCTCACACACTCCCTGCCCCTCACACACCCTCTCCTCTCCCTCTCCGCCCTCCAAGGGCCGCCGTCCCTCCTCGGTGCACGAAGCACCATTCAAGCACTCAGGTCGTGAACCTTCAAGCCCTCCCACCCCACTGCCATTCACCAGCAAACAGCCGCCCCCTCCAGCCCGGCCACTCCGCATTCCCCCTCCACTGCTGTCCCTTGTGACCCGGGGCTCATGACTGCTCTCTGGGGGTCCGCCCACACCATTACCCATGTGCAGGGCAGCATGCAAAGCACAGGCAGACGCATGAGAGGCAGACGCGTGGCTGCTTACGGTGGATGAACAAGTGTGGGGCTTCGTATCGGCAGGCGGTGGTGGTGAGCACGGGGAAGGGTAGGAGGAAGAGTGACGGGCAGAATCAGAGAGGGCGAGGGCGGCTGTGATGTGCGCTGCCAGGCGCTCGCCCTGCTTCAGTGCCTGCAGTGGTGAGGAGAGTTAAGGGGTAGGGAGGGGAGTGGCGCGGGGAAGGGAAGGGTATGCATGGGTGAATGAGTGGATGAAAACACCGCGAGCACAGGAGGAGAGCACGCGAGCACTTGCATAATCTGTAGTAAGTAATAACACTGCAATAGCCCTCTCCGTCTCCCCCAACCTCCCTCTCCCCTCCCCTCCCTGTCCCCCCTCGCCTAGCAGCACAGCACAGCACAGCACAGCACAGCACAGCACAGCACAGCACAGCACAGCACAGCACAGCACAGCACAGCACAGCACAGCACAGCACAGCACAGCACAGCACAGCACAGCACAGCACAGCACAGCACAGCACAGCACAGCACAGCACAGCACAGCACAGCACGCACGAGCGTGGCATGGCAGAGTCGGGCCTCCAGCTGCTGCCGCTTGGCGCCCCACGAGAGGGCCGCCGCCTCACTCGCCTCTGCCGCTGCCTGCACGTCCCTCGCCGCCGCTGCTGCCTCCCCCGCCAGCAGATCGTACTCTGGGTGACACGGCCACGAGGGACGGGGCGGGGAGAGGCAGGGGAAAGAATGAGGAGTGAGAGAGCGTTGAAGGGAAGGAGAGAATGGAAGAGGAGGAGGATTGGGGGGGAGGGGAAGAGTGGAGGCAGTGGTAATACAGGCAGAGTTAGTGGTAAATCAGGCTGAGGCGCGAACGGGGATAGGGAGACCCAAGAGAGGTGGATGCAGGTGGAGAGGTGGATGCAGGTGGAGAGGTGGATGCAGGTGGAGAGGTGGATGCAGGTGGAGAGGAAGGATGCAGGTGGAGAGGAAGGATGCAGGTGGAGAGGAAGGATGCAGGTGGAGAGGAAGGATGCAGGTGGAGAGGAAGGATGCAGGTGGAGAGGAAGGATGCAGGTGGAGAGGAAGGATGCAGGTGGAGAGGAAGGATGCAGGTGGAGAGGAAGGATGCAGGTGGAGAGGAAGGATGCAGGTGGAGAGGAAGGATGCAGGTGGAGAGGAAGGATGCAGGTGGAGAGGAAGGATGCAGGTGGAGAGGAGGATGCAGGTGGAGAGGAAGGATGCAGGTGGAGAGGAAGGATGCAGGTGGAGAGGAAGGATGCAGATGGAGAGGAAGGATGCAGGTGGAGAGGTGGATGCAGGTGGAGAGGTGGATGCAGGTGGAGAGGAAGGATGCAGGTGGAGAGGAAGGATGCAGGTGGAGAGGAAGGATGCAGGTGGAGAGGAAGGATGCAGGTGGAGAGGAAGGATGCAGGTGGAGAGGAAGGATGCAGGTGGAGAGGAAGGATGCAGGTGGAGAGGAAGGATGCAGGTGGAGAGGAAGGATGCAGGTGGAGAGGAAGGATGCAGGTGGAGAGGAAGGATGCAGGTGGAGAGGAAGGATGCAGGTGGAGAGGAAGGATGCAGGTGGAGAGGAAGGATGCAGGTGGAGAGGAAGGATGCAGATGGAGAGGAAGGATGCAGGTGGAGAGGTGGATGCAGGTGGAGAGGTGGATGCAGGTGGAGAGGTGGATGCAGGTGGAGAGGTGGATGCAGGTGGAGAGGTGGATGCAGGTGGAGAGGAAGGATGCAGGTGGAGAGGAAGGATGCAGGTGGAGAGGAAGGATGCAGGT